GCTGATGTGCGGGGCGTCCGCCCTGGTCAGGGACGCGCTGGCACCCGGAGGAGCGGGTGGGTGCCGACCCATTGCCCACCCACCTTCCCTCCGAAGCGGAGGGAGGAGCCGCTGTTTTTTGACCTGCGCGTTGTTGACTCCACGCCTTTCCCTGTCAGGCTCTAGGATGATGGTCACACGTTACCCAGAAATTCCCAGGTGGGGGCGGGCGGCCCACATTGCTTCCGAGCTGGCATTACGGTGTACCCCCCCCACCCCACCCCAGGTAATCGAGTTTCCAATAGGAGAGTACATTTCCAAAGTTTACCTAACACGCAGGTCTTAAGAGTTAATACATTCTAGTTGATGTGTAAGTGAAGAAAGGCGTGGAAAAAATACAACCTCTTCTTGGCGTTTTTTCCAGGATGCTACAAAATCACCACCGTCTTTAGCCATGCACAAACGGTAGTTTTGTGCGTTGGTTGCTCCACTGTTCTCTGTCAGCCCACAGGAGGAAAAGCAAGGCTTACAGAAGGTACATGCTTTCAAATGTCTTTTGGGCTTTGGATCTCATAGAGAAAGGGTCATATGGAATGTAAATGACCGGACTTGTAAAGGGAGTGGTATTACCAGACACAGCATACTTGTCAGTCTCACAATGCTGCTGTCTGAAGCTAGGGTGGGGAGGCGGTAAGAGCGGCTTTCCTGGGCCTGTGAGTGTGGGGCAGGGTGAGTGGGCTGCCGGCAGTTCATTCTGAACCTTCTCCTTCCAGGATGCTCCTTCAGAAGGAAGCAGCACTAAACGCACCTCAAATCAAGATGAGTGGGACACCATCCCAATAAACACATTTTGGATACATCCTGTTTATTGTCTTGTTTTACTGGTAGGAAGTTCTTACCGCAAGTATTCAGGGCCAACCAGAAGAATGGACCGCTAGTCATTTGGGGCAAGTAAGTAGCCAAGTATTTAAAAAGTCCATTTGGGACATTTCTATCTGCCTGGGCTCGCTGAGTAAATCTTCAGAGCTTGATTTAAAAATGGGGTTTACCATATAAATGAGATACTTACTTTCACTGTTATGTTTTCTTAGAATTAAGAACAAGTTGCTCTTCGAAACACAAGCCAGCACACCACTTGAACAGAACAGCTCAGGACCCTTTATTTACAATTCTCAGAAACCTTCTCTGGAGGCTTATAAGTATAGAGGTTGTTGCTAGGCGGCTTCTGGTGGCCAGGGGTTAGAAATCTCCGGTTTCCTACAGTTACGGAGACTTGTCTAAGTACAGGTTAGTGCTTTATACTCCACAGCCAGTGTTGTAGCCGACTCTGGGCTGGCGGGGGTTGTGGACTCAGGAATGGAGGGGGAGAACGTGTGGAGGCGTAAGAACCTAGAAACAAATGGGAAAGGGAGATGGGTGAGAGGTGAGATACAGGAACTGAAATGTGAAGATGAGCATTGTGATTCTTTACCTGTCGGTGCTCCCAGAGTTGGAACGTAAACAACCGGAACTGTCTGGATCTTGTTTAGAAAGGCACTGTATGCTGCAGTAAGAACAAGGGAGATGTCAGGAAAGAGACAAATTCCGTCGGAGGAAGGCCTTAGTCATACTTCAAATAACTTCATGGTAATTAGGATATTTTTGTTCAGTTTTTAGAGTTACTTATCAACTGGCCAAATGATGGGGCAAGTGCAGGTGTAGACAAAATCATCTCTAGCTAATGAATTTAACCCAAACTAGCCATTTAGCAGTATCCACTTCTGAATGGTATTTGCCACATCCAATTTGATAGTTGTAACTTGAGCAGGACCTTTGTTTAATCCAATAGGTGACTAGGGTTAGGGAGGCTGAATCTGTTTCAACTGCAAAAACAACTAATTTTCATCCTTATTCAGTTTTTGAAATGAAGGATATAAGGACTCCTTACCTAGAAAGATGAAAGCTGTTGATGCCAGCACTACAAAGAGGGTAAAAAGGATCTGGTAAGAACCCATGAACTGGAGGACACCTGAATCTTCACATTGATCTATGCATTGGCCAGAACAGAAGAAGAGAATAGTTACTTAATAACACATCCAGGCCAGATGTTGCATTTAAAACCTTGTGTGGTCTTAAGACTATCTAGCAGAAGCACTGGAAACCCAGCCCTTTAGGACATCAATTTTTAAAACATGTAATACCTGGTTATTTACTCAGCTGCACTGACCTCTTTCCCCTTAGATTGTTAAATTAAAAAATGACAGCTGCCCTGGCCTGTGTGGCTCAGTTGTTTGGAGCCTTGTCCTATATACAGAAAGGTTGCAGGTTCAGTCCGTTCGGGGCACATGTGGAAGGCAACCAATTGATCTCTCCCACATCAATGTTTCTCCCTACCCTTCTCAAATCAATACGCATGTCCTTGGGGGTGAGGATTTAAAACAGTGATGGCGAACCTTTTGAGCTCAGCGTGTCAGCATTTTGAAAAACCCTAACTTAACTCTGGTGCCGTGTCACATAGAAATTTTTTGATATTTGCAACCATAGTAAAACACTTATATTTTTGATATTTTATATATTTAAATGCCATTTAACAAAGAAAAATCAACCAAAAAAATGAGTACGCGTGTCATAGGTTCGCCATCACTAATTTAAAAGAACTAACAGAGGAAGGGTGGGGAGGGTTGGGGGGCAGGAGGAGGGCAGTAAGAGATCAACCAAAGGACTTGTATGCATGTATATTAGCATAACCAATGGACATTGCCACGGACACTGGGGCGGTAGGGGCTTGTCCTAGAGAGTGGAGTGGTCAGGGAGGGGTCGATGCGGGGGGGAAGAAGACATGTAATACTTTAAACGAGGGGTGGTGGGGGGGGGGAAGGAGACATGTAATATTCTTTGTAATACTTTAAGCAATAAAACAAAAAAAAATAAAAGCACTGACACAATAGCTGTCCGGTATGAATAAATAAAAGCTAAACTTGTTTTTGGTCAGATTAGCAAAAATACTTTTTTGGTGTCCCCAGAATTTTAGAAATTACTTGGTGCCATGAGGTGAGAAGGGTTGGCTTCATCTTACTGGCTTTTTCCTATCTCCAAAGTAATAAACTCCAATTCTTAAACTTATTTATTATTCTCAGCTTACAGGAATTTTTAAAACTTCTGCCACTTAAAAATGGCTTTTACCTTTCCTGTGCATTTTAACTAAATTTGTTGCAATCTATGGTGATTCGATTTATATAAAAATTTTAATTGACTTGAGAGGGAGTGAGGAACATCAATTTGTTCCACTTATTTAAGCATTCATTGGTTGATTCTTATATGTTCCCTGACGGGATCAAAACTGCAACCTTGAGCCGAAACCGGTTTGGCTCAGTGGATAGAGCGTCGGCCTGCGGACTGAAAGGTCCCAGGTTCGATTCCGGTCAAGGGCATGTACCTGGGTTGCGGGCACATACCCAGTGGGGGTTGTGCAGGAGGCAGCTGATCGATGTTTCTAACTCTCTATCTCTCTCCCTTCCTCTCTGTAAAAAATCAATAAAATATTTAAAAAAAAAACACAACTGCAACCTTGAGACATCAAGGATGCTCTAACCAACTGAGCTATCTGGCCAGGGTGTGATTTGATTTCTCATTCTAATCCCTGTAACGTGAAACATTTCTTTGGATTCCCCAATGACTTCTTAAATCCAAGGGCCCCTTACCCATTTTACTCAGGATGTCATTTCTAGGGAATATTCTGATTTGTATATAATGTCCTTAATAAAACTTGCAACTCCTGCCTTTGAATCATATGTGGTATCTGCCTTTGGTTATTTCAGTGTCTAGAACTCCTTTCTGTGCCCCAAGTGATCTGAACTTCCAGGCTTTCCAATATAAATTGTGACCAGGCCCTCATACCTATTTCCTATTCTGCATCTATAGTATAGGCCTTCTACCTCTAGTCTTAAAACTGCTCCTCTCACCTTACTCTTTGATAACTGCTTCACTGAAGAATAAGGTTTCTTGAAGTGCATATACTAAAAAGATTGTCTATACTAATTCCTGATCAGGTCCTACTGCTCAAAGTCCAACTAAAACAGGCGTATTACTAATTTTCCTAGCATCCCTTTCATAATCAGTGAGTTGATTAGAATCAACTCCAGATTTTAAAGCTGCTCTAATAGAGCACAGATTGGAGTTGAACACTTTCTAGTGGTGGGACCTTTAGACACCTCAATTCCTCAACTCTAAAAGGGAAAAACATCTACCCTTTCGAGTCAGAGAAATGCATTTAAATATGCTTAGGATATGTATTGACAAGTACATTATCAAAGTGCTTATATAAGCAAATCTTTCTCCCATTAGGAGATGTGCTAGGGTTCAGCCTAATTCATTCCCAATAATTAAGAGTACTGTTTCCCTTGAGGGAGTGGCAAGTGCCAGTGGCATGAGAATGTTTCTCTGGCTTAACATCTCTCCATAACTTCCCATCCCATATAGATTGGCATTTCTAAACTGGGTAATGGCTAGAGTTAGGATTTGGGCAATAAGTCTTGTTTCTAGGGTTTGCCTTTTGCCCTTTGCTTAATGCAGAAAGATCTGCTGAATACTTTTAAAGAAAGTGAAACATTTTTCAAGAGGTTTAGAATGGAAACTGACAGACTTGTTAAACTGACATGACTATTCTTAAATATATGTTAAGTAACACATCTAGCTAGTGATAAGCTATCTGAAGGTTGTGTTTTCAGTGGGCTTGGAAATTGATCCAAGCCCCAGTTAGAGAGTAATCTTGGTCAAGTGGCTGAATGTTTTCCATTAACTAAATTGTAATGCCTTATTTTCATCTAGATCAGTGGTTCTCAACCTGTGGGTCGTGACCCCTTTGGCGGTCGAGTGACCCTTTCACAGGGGTCGCCTAAGACCATCCTGCATATCAGATATTTACATTATGATTCATAACAGTAGCAACATTACAGTTATGAAGTAGCAACGATAATAATTTTATGGTTGGGTCACAACATGAGGAACTGTATTTAAAGGGCCAGAAGGTTGAGAACTGCTCTAGATTAAAAGTAGGACCCCCATTGCTCACCTGCACCAGACTTCTTACTAGCTCTCACTAGCACAGCCACACTTTGACCTGTGAGCACACAGGAAATATTGATGAAAACAGGTGATGTCATCTGCTGAAGGGAAGTGAAGTTGACTACTCTTACGGGGTAGATAGCAAGGCCAGGTGTGAGGGAAGAGTGACTCTGGCCAGAGACCACTAGAACCGGGGAGCTGGGGAAGACCTTGGAGAAAAGAAAATAGCACTGTTTGAAAGAAGAAAAGGCAGTTTTGTGTTCTATATATTCCAATCTTAAACATACACAGACACCTGGATTTCTAGTTTAGCTAACAAGTCATTTTTTCACTTAGATGTATTGAATGATAAGGGGAAAAGGTGATCTGTGAGAATAAAATAGGCTTCAAAAAAGTTTTAAACTAGAATTTTAAAGATTGTTTTTAAGAGCATTGGTGCCCTGGTCAGTGTGGTGCAGTGGTTAGAGCACTGGTCCACACACCAAAAGGTCTTGGGTTTGATTCCTGGTCAAGGACGCGTATCTGGGTTGCAGGTTCATCCCCGGCCCTGGTCTGGGTGCATGCAGGAGGCAACCAATCCATGTGACTCACATCCATTGTTCTCTTTTCCACCCCCTCCTCCCACTCTCAAAAAAAAAATCAATGGAGCTCTAGCCATTTGCCTCAGTGGATAGTGTCGGCCTCTGGATTGAAGGGTCCTGGGTTCGATTCCAGTCAAGGGCACATGCCTGGGTTGCGGGCTTGATCCCCAGTAGGGGGCATGCAGGAGACAGCCAATCAATGATTCTCATCATTGATGTTTCTATCTCCCTCTCCCTCTCTGAAATCAATAAAAATAATATTTTAAATAAATAAATAAATGGAAAGACTATCCCCAGGTGAGAATTAACAACAAAAAGATAGTATTGGTGTTATCTTCCAGCTAATGACGCAGATTTTAAGACTCTGGGAGCCCTCCTGAATGGGACAGATTTTCTTCATCCTGCTTAGTATTTCCTACGGTGAGTTTTATCATCACAAAAATCTTTTTTCAAAACTTATCTGGGTTCAGTTCTTAACATACCTCTAGCTTCTCAAGAACTCTGTCCACTCCCAGTACTCTTATCTCCCCGATGTCTCGTTTGTGGCTAAGCACCAATTCTGACTGGTTGATGTAAAAGGCTGGGATGAAAGGAATGAGAATTCTTTGCATTCCGTTCTTGCTATGTTCACTGATGAGTGTGGCCCACCCATAGACTGAGGTGTCAGCCAGGCTGAGGGCCTGGAGCAGCGCCTCTGATTGGGGTCGAACCTGGATGAGGCAGACATAAACCCCTGAAGAAAAGAGGAAAATCTGAGCAGGGATGTCCAGGGGCTCTGTTGAGCCAAATGAATTAGGGTAAGAAGTAAAAATGGTGACATGTAAATTCAAAAGAAAATGTGAACTTAGTTTTGTTATTCAGCTAGCACACGATGGACCACCAGAAGAAAACAGGGAACCCACAACTGAACTTGTTGCTTAAATTGGAAAATCAGCATGCCAGGAAATATTAACACAGTGCAAACAAGTTATGGGGATACAGAATGAAGTAGTCAATTGGTAAGATCAGGAAAGGGTTTGTGAAAAAAAGCCATGCTTCGAGCATGGTTTAATCACTTCTCTATCAAACCACCACTTGGTCTTATTTCTTTCTGTCAGTAGTAGTTTTCTAGTTACCCATGCTCAAACCTTTACTTCCTTTACTTCATTCCTATATCCAATCATCCTCCAAATCGTGCTAACTCTTTGAAATGCCTCTGACATGTCTCTGCCCTGTTGGTATTTCTTCGTTACTCTAGTCTAGACCCTTATCAATTCGTGCTTGTATTATTGCAGTGGCTCCATTTACTAGTCTCCTTGCCACCCATTATTCATTCTTTCTTGTCCATCCTATGTACTTCCAGTAA